ATGTGTGAGGTCAACAGGAAGTGATCCAGATTAACCGCCAGCTAACCAGTGAAATCTGAGCAGGCAGGAGGAGGTGACTAGAAACTGTCGGACTTTGGTTGTGCACGGTGAAGCCAGGAGGCACGTGCACATGTGGGGCTATGTCAGCTGGTGGACAGCACTTGAGGTCTCAGCTACGTTTCTGGGCTCACAGCTGTATGAAGGGATTGCTGTAAATCATCCATCTACTTGTTCTGTGTTTTTCTCAGTTGTCATCTTTGGATAGTGCACTGAATCTGAAATGAGCCAATGGCCTTATCATAGTTTTGAAGTGGAAGGATAGGACATTTGATTTGTTTAATAAAAAAAAAGTAAATTACGGGGCAGAATTTTTTTTCTAGCTTAAAAGCATCCTTTAACTTCTCAGTTTCTGAGAATTAAAATTTTCTTTACGCACTTTGAAGTTAAAATGCAGTCTGACTACATTTTACAACCCTACATACTAGACCAATAACCATTTTTATTCTCAACTTTGAAGTTTTAGTGACAAGTTGGCAGAGAAGGGCACCACACCGTAATTAATGTTGCTGAAAATGACAGAAAGGTTTCTGAGTTAAGAACTAACCAGGCGGTGGTACAGTTGCTGTGGCAAACAGTTTGGTGGCTCCTGCAAAAGTGAAACATAGAACCATAGAACCACCCTGTAATCCAGTGATTCCAATCCTAGGTGTACACACACACACACACACACACACACACACACACACACACACAGAAAGATATCCCAAAATTCCAAATAGGAACACAAATAGAAACTTAGCTATTTCTGCCCTTTGGTGCTCTGTGCTCAATAGCCCAAAGGTGGAAATTCCCTACCTGCTTATCACCAGATGGATGGATACAGGAAATGTGGTGCAGACATCCATCGGAACCCTACTCAGGGAGTAGCAGAAATGAAGCTCTAACCCATGCTACAGCATGGTTGAATCTCGAAAACATGCTGAGTGCAGCCAGCAAAAGGACAAATATTACATGACCTATTAAATGCAACAAAGGAGCCCTGGTGGCATAATGGTTACAGATTAGGCTGTGCTCTGCATGGTCAGCAGTTCTAAACCTCCAGTTATCTTCTTTTTAAAAAAATCATTTTATTTGGGGTTCATAAAACTCTTATCACAATCCATATACACATCAATTGTGTAAAGCACATTTGTACATTCATTGTCCTCATCATTTTCAAAACATTTTCTCT